TTTTTTCCCCTCCCCCAAGAAGTCGTCATTGTTCCATGTACAGCACTGCAGGCTGAGTGCTGTGTGCCAGATGCTACTGTTGTAATGCAATTGTATATTAAAGTAAAATGAAAGTATATTTGTCTTTGTGTTCTAAGAGTTTAGGTCTACTTCACCCATGTATAAATTTCACAAAACTGGGATGCTAGAAAAAAAATTATTTTGGGGGGTAGTAATGCTAAGGAATTCTATGAAATGTTGAAATTGCCACATTAAAACAGAGGGTTGGTTATCTGCTATRCCACAAATTGGAGATTGGTGATAGAAAGCTTCAGAGCAGGTTCAAAAATGGTGATACAAAACTTCGGAGCAAGTTTAAAAATTCCCCCTATGTATCTGGATGTTTATGTTCATTTGTTTTCTTCTTGCCAGATTCAACAGCACAGTTCCAGTAATTAAACAGTAGAAATATATTCCTTTGATCAAATTTAGGTATATTGCAAAGAAGCAAATTGATAAACATCATTGACCCAAAGCTGTATGAAGTACATGTGGAAAGACTCATTTAACAAGCTGAGTCTTTTCTTTTTGGTAAGTATTCCTTTTATTCCTGCAGCAGTATAACAACAGTAAGGACATCCAAATAACTTGTATTATTTATTGTGTCTGATTGTTTTTCTCTAATGTAAACAGTGCTCACCACTTCGTATGCAACCTCCATCCCCTTGAGCCTCAGTACCATAACCAGTTTGGTTGCTTTTATGAGCTTTTGTTTATAGCTTAGCTTTAATTGCTGGAAGGAAGTATTGCTGACTTAGGCAAGCTTATCTACTGCCCTTATTACAGCTTAGAAATKCACATGATTGTGCCTTGCTTACTGGAAGAAATAAGATTGACCCTTATTTTTCTGATGTGATTGTCTGTAGTCCCTGTGTTACACTGTGGTCTAGTCTAAGTTCATCTGTTGACTCTGCTGTTACCAAAATAGGGACAGAAAGGAGTTGGCTTCCAGCAACTCTGTTAAGGACTGAATCCTGGCTGCCTGTGCTCCAACAGCATCCTCTGCTGGAGACAAAGGAAAAATGCCTGGAAAGGGGAAGCATGGTCTGCATGATGCTGAAACGAAACTGATTGCTCTTCTTCCCTGAACTCTACTGTGGAGATGATGACCTTTAAAGTTCCTTCCAACCCCAGCTGTTCTATAACTCTTGACCAAGACTGAAGGGAGTAGATGCCTGCTGATTCTTTTTAATAGTTACGCTGGTGATAGAACCTGTTTTTTGCTGTCTTTTAGTTTGCAGCAATWAAGAGTGCCCAGTGGAGCCCTGGGTCACTCTCCAAGGAACACTTGGAGCACTGCTCTTTTTGCTTGCCACAGAGACTCCTGGAACATTGTGCTGCAGCCCCTGGCTCACTCAGAGTCAAGGACAGTTCTCACCACTGGAGCTTTTCCTCAAGTTGATGTTGCTGTAATAAAATCAGCAATGTGGTTTTTTTTTTCCAGTGGCAGGAAAGACAATGCAGCAGCCCATTTCAAAAAGGTAAGCTTTAATTGTATTAAAAAATACCCATGTTTTTAGTAAGCAGTTTCTCTACAGAGCCACAGGCCTATGGGAGCAACCACACATCTGCAAGATGCAAACAACATCAGAGCTGTTAGAATTACAACCAGCCTGCTGCAARGGATGAGATGTGAGAACAGGCTCCTTGTTCATCTGTACCATTTTACAGGGAAAATCAGTAGTTCTCTTCCATAGCATCAGACACACAGCTCCCATTGCAATGTGATTCCTTGCTTGAGGGTAACCAAGAGATCCCTTCAGAATTGAATCTGTTGATGCTGTTCTGATGTTTWAAGTTCCAAGAATCATCTGAGACACAGGCTGGTATTTAAATATTCATATCAGCATAAGTGGAGTAGCTTGTATAAATACCATTCAAGTAATTTTTCTCCTTCCTCTGCAGTTCAGTGTTCTTCCAGTGTGGGGTAATTCTGGACCTCTGAATTGCAGCGTTCAGAGGGGAGGTAAGAGATAAGCTCTACATAAAATAAGCAGGGGCTGAACCTACCATTTACAGTGTTGAAGAAAGGACTCAGTTCTCATGTTTCTGTCTGACAGCARCACTAAAAACTTTCTTTGTATGATTTCAAGACAGGAAGGAGGAGCAGAATCCTAGGTCCCACTCATGAAAACACTTACCCTAACTTCAACTTCCAGTCCATTCTAGAAGGGCTTAAAATACTATAAAATAAAAAGGAAGGATAACAACCTAATGATGGACCAGCTCAAGGCACCTGTTTATTTTGACCACAATTAAACATTCCCATTTGAATGGCATGTTGCATTAACCAAGATCTAAAGTCCTAGTTCACAGGTATTTAGTACCCTCTGTTTTAGACAGATCACGCTAAGTCAATACATCCCCTTGTGAAAGACATTTCTGTTGTCTTCTATAATCACTATGCCACTGGGGAGGTGGGAACAAGACAGCAACTAATTTAGAAATAATGGCTATGATGAGATGAAAGTTGGGGTTAGTGTGCATGCCCTGTACCTACACTTTTGCATTAGAACGGCCTGCTATTCCAGAAACCAGTCTTTCCACCTCCCAGAGCAAAGCATTCAGAGTCCCTTGCAGTCTGTGGCCAGGARGGCCACAGCTACTCACAGCTTTTTGCTCATTAACTTTGACAATTGTTGAAATGGGGTATCACCATAACCCTGCTTTACTGAATAACTTGTACAGGGAGCTGTTCTCTTGAAAAGGTGATTAAACTTTCCTCTGCCCCTGTGAGTATCTGGGCAGGCAAGTTCACCTCCTGTGACAGACAGGACCATTAGCTCTAAGAATCACTGCAGTAAGTGCTTCATGTATGCTAGAAAAGAAGACAGTGGCACATCTGTAAGACAAATCTGAATTCTGATTCCATAAAATGCCTTTCTCTTAGTATCCATTATAATTCTTTATTGTGCTTGGTTTTGTGCAGCTTGGCCTAACCTTGCAGTGAGGAGACTTTTGGATGATTTAAGTATCTGGCATGGTATTGCTTGTTCAGATTGAAAACCTAGCTTTTATGTCTCTCACAAGCATTACCCTCCAGTGCAGATAGTACAAGTAGTAAAAATTCATTGCTTGATTATACATTTCTAGTGCAACTTGAGTTAAAATGCATTATGAAGCTCTTGTTCTCCTGGTTAAAGTCAAGCAAGTACCAGCTGAGAACCTGCCAGGGCTATCCAGTGATTTGAGTTTTGGAGAAGAACACAGCGGGGCACAGGACAGACCTGCTTACTGTAACCACCATGAAACWGGGCTGTGATCACAGCTGCTGGCCAGAGACATTACACCAAGAAAATGAAGGCACCACTGTAAAGGCAGAATACTTCAAAGAGAGWAGAGGATTTCATAGTAATCAGCACTATCCTGTTATGCCACATTTTCCTATCTCTTTCAATTCAAAAYGGAATTCATTCAGTAGCTGTCTCCCTTCCAGCTGCTAGTATCCAACAAAGCACCTTCTGAGTGCCCAGGAGGCGATGYTGAATGTCTGCACATAACTGCTGTACCTTGAATTATGTTATTTCCTGGAAAGATAAGACTCAGCTAAACTGGTTCCACGGAACAATCCTTCATGTCCCAAGCTATAACCATTTGTTTCTCTTATGTACCCACTACCCATTTATCGAGGACTTTCCATATGACAGCAGTAAAAGCAATATATTTTAGAAAAGGAGTGCATGTGAAAAGCACTTCCACAGCAAATCAAGGAAGGGTTAGGAGAGGAAAGTCTCATTCTGTTTTCTCTCAGACAACTTCCTGACTTTTGTAGCCTGGAGAGACTTGGTAGAGAAACAAAATTACAAGGAAGAACAAAATTACAAGGAAGAGCAAAATAGGCTGCAGCCATCCAACTGGATGTAGCACATGGATGTGACTTCTACAGTCACTTGCTTGTTGTGATGTTTCTGTACCTATACTAGTGCTAACCACTGAAGACCGAATTTCTGGAAAGCAGAAATTTAATAAATGTCAAGTAGCAATTTCAGGAGGTTCTAATCCCTGGGCTCTGGCAGTGCTGTCTACTGGACTTCATGAAACACCACAGTGCTCCAATGCAGGGTGTTTGTTAGAAAGCCTCTGCAGTGGCTGTAAAATTTCAACAACAAATCAAAGGTTTGTTTCTGTTTAGGTTAGTAAAAGAACTGACAAAGAGAAAGTCATAAACAACTGACCACAGCTGAACTCTGTAGCAAACYTTCAAGGAAGTGAGAGGAAAAATTGCTAAAGACTGTTTTTTGGGGGTTTTTGTGGTATTTGAAGAAGTGACAGCAATACAGTGGCAGCTATCCTTCCTCAGGGATCCTCAATGCAGACAGCATGTTAAAACTGAAGTGGAAGTTAGAGAAAAAATGTGTGGCGATTGTGGGCCACTTTTATATTTCAGGTGTCAATTTAAAAACAAAGCCATTTCCTAAAGAAGAGATTCCATTAAATGATACTCARCTGTTTTTACCTTTCTCCATTTTTYCCCYCAGCCTTCTAAGGATGAGGATRTTGCAGTTGTGAGCAAYTGACAATACAAACAGGAGCWTATTTTCTTCTGTAGARAAACATMYRAAGYCTTGAAAAAGCAGCCAGGGGRGTGACTGTTCAGACAGGCAGATTGCAGGAACAGAATATGCTGAAGCTYGTACCAATTAACTGTGCAATGAGGCCCCTGATACCACACCTCACTAAAACTATGCACAGCAAGCAAAACTACCCCTTTGCTGCAGACAGCCTTCAAGGAAAAACAGGACATGCCAGCCTCCTCCTTTCCACAGAGGGTATGCTTGGAGAAAATTTGCTTCACCTGTTTCTAAAAGGTGCTTGCCTGTTTAAGTGGTGAGACTTTGGTGGTTCAGGCTCTGTCTCATCCTTTAAAATGCTAGGACAAATGGATTCATCAGCTACAGTTTGCGTTTCTGCAGACCACAGAAAGCCTCCAAGGCTGCTGAAATTTAGAAGGATTGAAGTAGCTATAGCCACAGTTCAGGAAGAACAGTTAGCTTAAAGCTGATWTTGCTGCTGGCTGGAGGATTTGGGGCAAAGCAGTATGTCACACCTAGAACCTGCAGTGCCATTCTTGGATTTTGCAAGGCAGAGGGAATACTCTTTATTAGGATAGCATTCCTGGAGGTAATGACTGGTCCTTCATGAACTGAATCCTATTCATTCCCCAGCGTAAGAATACGAGAACACTGTTCATCTGGTTTTACAGCTGTGCTCAGGAAAAAAGAAAGACTTGCATTTAAACATTGCTCCTAGCAGCTGTGCCTGTTAAGAACACCAAACCCCAAGGGAGCCTTCTGCAAACTTCAGTTGTTTCAGCTGAAAGGTCTGTTCTCTGTCTCAAACAGAAAGCCAGGGATGGCAGCAGGCAGTGCTGAAGGCTCAACAAGAGGATTAGCAAACAGTGTTAAAGCAAAGGAGCAACAAGTGCCATCAGCTACAAAGGAAGTAACATTAGTTAAAGCATACTTATTGTACCCTGTCCAGCCCAGCACCATCTGAGCTGAGGCTGGAGAGCAGAGTGACTGCAAAGTGGCTCAGTGGTGTTGGTCCCTGTTAAATGGGACACCATCTTGCTGGTTTGAAGGTTTTAAACCAAAGCAGCAGGTGTGATGCAACTGAAAACCAAAGGCAGTGGTGGGATGGATTGAGKAGAGGGTGCTGTTCTCCAGCTGTGAGATAGGTAGGTGCAGTCTCTGCCAGCTTAGACCACCTCAGAGGCTGGAAGTGAGACTGTGCTGCTCCAGTAAGCATAGTCATAAGATCCTGTAGCGTCCCCAATCCCAAACTTGCTTCTGCTGTTTACAAGGAAGGGTGGCTTTACTCCAGTTCAGCTTAAAGTTGGATGAGGAGTGTTTAAAGGAGTCCTGGTTCTTCTCATTGGCTTCACTGTCCTCACCAATAAACTTGGTAGGACATATTTATGAGACTGGGCCATTATCAGCTTGTGCTGAAGCCCTCTTCAGTCCCCAAATGGAAGGGGGAGTTGATAGGAGGATTTTCCAGCCAAGTCTCAAAGCTCAGCTGTAGCATTTCACATTGGTTGTCATCAAACAAAGTGCTTTCCTGAAGTCTTCAGCCCTCAGGTATCCAGTCTAGGCCAAAACCTAGTTATCACTGGCAACAGTGAAGTTTGGTGCAAAGGTGCCACTGGTCCCGGCTAGACAAAACAAAAAAAACACAAATGAAAGGGAAAGGGAGACAAAACCAAAAAGAACYCTAGAACAGGTACTCACAGGGAAGCTGAGTGTGAGAAAATAAAATCACATTTTGTTTCAAAATTATAAATACTCTCCATATAAAGTTAAATAACTGTGGCTGTGGTGAGTTCCAGTGATCCTCCTAAGCAATGTCTGGYAGTCTTTAAAAAGTGATCTTTGCTCCCCATCTCTCTTGCTCTCAGTTTAAGTGCAGCAGGGGTTGTCAATGACTAGCATGACATCGATGCCATACACTTCCAGGAGGTCCATAAGGAAACTTCGATCCCCTTGGGGATCCAGGCCCATGCCTCGTGCGTGGTCAGCTGTCAGGGTCTTGTCCTGGCTGGCTGACACCTCCATCAGCGTCTGGAATATGCGGTTGTTCTGCTCCATGAAAAACCTGTAGGGTAAAGCCAACAAAAATCATAGCATTGGACTTCCAAAAAGACAGTGTGGGTGGCAGAGCTCCAGAACTGCATCTAACTCCCTTCAACCAGAGATCCCACCTTCTGAGGCGACACTGTAGTACTTTCCCATTGACTATATGGATGCCCCAGAATAAACAAAGGTAGAGAAGTAGCTTTTAACTGAGAGTGGTGCTCCCATCCAGCTGCTCTGTGGGAGGCATTTTCCTCAGAAGCCACATTATCAGCTAATGTGTGCTCTGTGGTCAGCAAGCAGCTACATCACACCTACAGCTCCCATAATGTAAAGGAGAAAACGGTGTTGTCACCCATCTGATAAGCCAGTGAGTAAACAAACTCTTCTTTACTGGTGCAGAACCTCTCTCACACCAGTAAGAGCTACTTCTTACCTGTTGGTTTCCTGGAAACATGTAAGGCTATTCAGAAAGAGCACTGGCTGCACCTGTGAAGCTCAAGAGAGCTCTGCCTTGACAGCCCTTCACACAGTTTCATCCCATCACTTCTCACCTGCTGCAGGGTGTGAATAGCAACAGGCAGTGAAGGGTTTCAGAGATGGTAGACATGTGGTTTTCATCTAATTCTGTACCTCCCACTCTGCACCCAGTTCTGGTTCCTCTGTTTGCCAAGTATGAAGTCAGCCACATCAGTGGGCCAATCCTTCACAGGCGAGTCTTATCTTCATACTGTGCCACCCCCAGCATGGTACAGTGCCTGCTTCCCATGAACACTGTCCATTCCAGAGCCAAATGTTCTGGCAAGAAAAATCCTATAGTGTGTATGTTTTCAAAAATGGGAGGGGATTCTTAGATCTCTAATTGTGTTTTTGAAATTCACTTCTCCCTCCCGGCACATCRGAGAACCCACCGGATACTACATTTTGGCTTTTCAAAATGAAAGGAAGATGATCTGAAGAGGAAGAGTCAGTCTGGTTTTGGAACCCTAGAGGAAGAAAGCTGTCTATGGAATTATGACAAACATGTTTCATAATATGCCAAACCAGTGCAACATGAAATCAGTGCAAGAGGCTCCTTAAAACTAACAGTGTCCAACTAAGTGCTAGAGATGGCTACTCACAGGATGAAAAGGTCCTCTTCACAGGAGCTGCAATCCTCACCCACTTCTTGAGAATACATTAACATCTGCCTAAGAGAAGGGAGATGGGTTAATTGCACATACCTACTGTGAACCTCAAAGCATGAGAAAATCAGAATTTTCCAGGGGTGAACTGAACCAGTGAGATATTTTGAAAATACTACAACAAGGTGGGAAGCTCAAAGGAGCAATGTCATCTTSATCCCACATCTCCTATCAGGACCACACAGATGTCTGTTATTACCTTTGGTCATTGAGCCGTCTGTACTTCTCCTTGTCAGCATTGTTAATTTTCAGGAGCGGTTGCAGATGCTCATGATGCGTCTTCACATTCTGGTTGTCCACRTAGACATCATAGAGATCCCGTTTCTGCTCAAAGATCTTTTCTGTTGTACCTGCCAAAATGAGAGAGGATTGTCAGAGCAGCTTTCCCAGCAGACCAACTGTTCTCTCCTGCTTTCCTASTTAGTCATTCCATGCACAACCTATTTCTCATCAGTTCTATTCCACAGTCTGCTTTCTCAAGACATTTTGCAGCCTGAAGCTAAAAACATCATACCTAATCCATCATACTTACAGGCCACGTATGATACTTCTGTCTCCAGCATTTCTATGTCTGCCACATTCACGTAGAAGAATGGTTTGGACTCTGGGACAGTTCCTCCAAGACCAGGCAGAGAAACATTTGCAAGGCAACAGCAGCAATACACTGTGGACAAGAGAAGTACATCCTGAGATGCTTTTGGTTTCCCTCAAAGGCACTCTGAACCCCACTTGCCCAGTTCTACACGCCTCTATGAAAACAATGGTCAGAGCTCTGCAATGCCCTTMAACACCAGAACTTCTCAAGTGATGACATCCTGTTTTGGATAAGAAATAATCAGTTCTCCCATAGGAATCCCACATTCAGAATCCGCAGATTCAGTCAATGCTCTTACTGTCCTGTGCTGACAGGAACTGAGTTTGACAGTGCCAGATGTATCCTTACTCAAGAGGCCTGATGAAAAGCATTTGGTAGGAAATGTGTAAATGCAGCCTGAGCGGTATCTTCACGAGGGATTGTCACAATGGATTTTGGAGACCTGCATGATGTCTGTCCCTTCAGTACTCGCAGGCATTTCTGCAAGGCTTTCAGCCTACCAGWTCAGAGCTCTGCAGTGTCCCTGGAAACATACCTCTGTAGCAGACAACTCCGACTGGGGGCGGYGAAAATATCAGGATGCGCTTGCGCAGCAGGGCAAACTTCCAGAGCACGAGGATCTGCTCACCGAAGAATTTGATGAACTGAGACATACAGCCAGCAGGGTGTGTGATCTGCAGGTGGAGCGAAAGGGAAGAAAACAGCTCAGAGGTGAAACARGGACACATGCACAGATGCTAAGTCTAAATGTAGGAGCAAGACCAGMACACAGCTTGCCACAGTCCAAGTAACAAAATCTTCTCTAAAGCAGCCTACAAAGCGCGGGAGGGACTGCTTACATAAAGGAGTGTGAGGCACCAGCAAGGAGCAGCACTCTGGCTGTTCCTGCAGGCCTCAGGCACCTGCCTCACCTTCATCTCTGGGTACATGTATCTGTGGATGGAAGGCAGCCAGTGGACAGGTTGCTGAGAGCCGGGGGTGCCCTTGCTATCAGGGAGAACTCCTTTCTTGTCGTCATAGAATGCCTCTAGATGGGAGTAGTGCCCTGGCATCTCCAGCTGGTGTCTGRAAAAGAAAGGGAAAAAAAGGGAGATCTGTGGCATCTCCAGACTATTTGTTTAGTGCCTCGCCCCCAGCAAACATCTGCCCTCCCAGCTAAAAGGGATCCTGGCTGCCTCAGTGGCACAGACACATCCGGGGGGCTGAAGAAGCGTCAGGACTAACAGCAGCTCTCAGTGCAGCCTGAGAACACACACAGGACTGACACAGGCAGCGAGCTGGGGTGTGCATAGTACTGGTCCTGTTCAAATACATTCAGGTGGGAACGGTTTTCTTTTGTACCATCACCATTTTCCCTGCTAGAACCACCCAATACAGCTGAAGCACACAGCTAGCCAGAATCACCATCACAGGCTTAGAAGCCTTTTGTAAGCCTGCAGTAAAATTAGTTTCAGAAGGAGAAAAGGGGAATTTCTTGCCYTCTCAACTCTCCCTGTGACACATCTGCCTACAATAAGTGGGGTTTGGGTGGCATTTGACTAGTCTGTTAGGAAGGAACAGACTGCTGCTAATTGGTTCCTTGTCTCCTTCACACTGTGAACCTGGAACACTTTCTGGAGAAAACCACTCAAGGAAGTCACAGCACWGCATTGTGGCCAAATTCTCACTTGCCTAAACATGCTCTCCATAGAAGGAACATGACCTCTCCCAGGTGGGGAATGGCCAGTCTGATTCCCAAGGGAACTTACCTGACCTGGTTCTCCAGGAAGTGCATGTACCTATAGAGCAGGGTGTAGGAAGGGGAGAGAATGCCCACAGACTTCATGCGGGCACCACGCTCTAACTCGCTTTCCACAGGCATGTTGGCAAAGCAGGCCAGGCCAAAACAGAGTCCTTTCCGGAAATAACTGGAGAMAAAGGTTTGACAGAAGGGTTAACGTTGAAAAGAGGAAAGACAAACAAAGAAAGGTAATTGAGTGCTAAAAATACTSATTTGGGAACATAGTTTCTTCTGTAAGGAAATCCCTGAAATCCCATCCTGCTATCGGAAGGGCTGAGGAGAGGCCTTGGGTGTCCCAGTCTTCTCAGTGACAAAACAGATTATATGGGCAAGCGTTCCTAGGAGTTCCCACAAAAGCCCCTACCAGCCACATCACAGGCCAGTAAGGAATGCAAGCAAATAAATAACTTGGAAGGAAGACCAAGAGAATGCATGGTTCAGTCAATGCAAAGCCCTTCCTCCAAGGAAGAAGTGCAGTGAATGYAGTTCTGAGTACAGTCCAGCTACCTGGTCATACTTTGAGAGCCAGCACACTGGAGCACACTCTGCTTGACTACAAGGGTTCAGTTCCCATGCTTTCAAGAAAGTAACTGTTATTTTTGACCAAAAGTGATTGTGACACTGCAGTTCATTGCAAAACATTGCTGCATTGCAACATTGGGTTAGCAGAATGCAGAAAATTCCTATCTAATGTGTTTCCACTGAAGGACATAGCAAAGGAGAAAGTGARCGAGACCTGTTCATAACAACATTTAAAGGAACCAAAAGCCCTGGCAGATTTAAGAACATTTTTCTAAGTCCTGTTCTTGCAAAATCCTTCCCATTTTCGATTCTGCCATTCCTTCCCTTTTGCCCTAGGCCTCTGCTAAGAGTCCCAGTAGTGGCAGTGTGGTATCATTTGCCCAACACCCATTAAAATTTGCTCACCAGTGACAAGCAGGCCTGCCCCATTCACCAGTTGGCCTCCACAGCCAGAGCAGTCATACAGCAGATCCTTTCAGCTGGTACTCAATATCATACTGAAAGTATCTGAAAAGTATCTTTGGCTCAGCTAGAAACAGTTCAGCAAGCAAGTTTCTGCAGAACCTTAGTTTCCTAGATGGTATTTTTCTTGCRTGTTCTGAATTAAGAGCTGGTGGTGTAGATGYACAACTAAGAAAAGATGTAATATARCTCAGATGTACTCACATGAAATCTGACTGGATTTTGTGGGACCCACTTGCCATGGATTTGAATTCCACACCTTCCAAATCTATATCTTGGGGTAAACACCATTCCACCATGTTGCCTGCAGAGAAGCAAATYAATTTGGGTAAGCTTGAATACAGTATTCGCTTCTAAAATGCAAACATCATCAACAGCAAGTTGTTGCTTTTCTGACACTGGGATACCAGYAACAGCACTCTAGCACAACTCCTGAACTCCTACATTGTCACAGACAGTGGCAGACATACAATAMTCCACACATCTCTTGCAAATGTTCCTTGTTGTAGCACAACACACAGATATTGCAGGACTTTGGGGCCACATCTGAAGCTAGTGCTATTTTGTGGGTTTATACCTCATAAGCTTAATCACAGAGCAGCTACAATTTTACCTGACAGTGGATACGCTTTGGTCTACAGGAGTATTCACCCCATACAGAAAGAGCCAAAGGACAGACTGCTGCTCTTTTGGGTGAATTWCTGTGAAAGCTCACGCCACCACCAATATTGTCCTGTGGCTGTGCTTGGCAGGCCTGGTCAAAAAGGAACTCCTAAACCACCATACAAATCATCACTTCTTCCCTGAAATCTCTCCTATTTTCTTTAGGATAGGAGGAGTTAGCTGAACCTTTATATGGAGGCTGAGGTGATCAAACTACTGCAATGTGTTTGTGTGTGCTAGAATAATCAACAAAAAAAGTGCATCAATTACGAGCTAGATCAAGATCAGCAAACATTTGTCACCTGACAACCCAGCCAGAAAGCATGCAGTTGTGCAGGGGAAAAGGCCACCTGAGGGGCCTGATCCTGGAACAGATGACATCAGGGAAGTCACAAAGTATCCTTAAAGTATCCTTAAGTATCCTTTATCCTAAAATCAAGTCCAACAAGTTTACCATGGGCAAAAAAAGGGTGACTTCTCATGCTTTCCCAAGCCAGCAGTTCAGAGCCCAACCTGCTCACCTGGACATTCTCACTGCACTGAGATGTGCTCCAGATTTACCCACTGAGTTTATCTTCTCTGTCAGCCTGCCCACAGCACCTGAAGTCATGTGGCTTTGTTTTACAAACAAGGCAAATAAACATTCTTCAGAATAACGCAATGGCAGATACAGCACAAAGGTGCTTCCTACTGGCTCAGTCATTCCCCTGCCYTTTGGGGTGAGMATCCCAGCTRTGCTTGCATGGACAGCRAAYACTGGAAGGGCATTACACTTAGCCAAGACTCTTGGAGATATTTAAATCTGAGGCCTCGTTTCTGARGCCTGTCTTTTGTCTCATTACTCATACTGCACAAATATATGCCTGCACAGGAATGGGGCTTAGCTACTGACATTTAAATAGGCTATTTTTCTTCTCACATGGATGCTGTATTCAATAGACCTCCCCCAGTCCTGCCTGGCAAGAACTTCAAAAAACCCAACAGCGTTAGGCATGGCAACAGGAGAAGTTTTGCATCCAACTCCCCACTTGCAGTTTCCAAGCAGACCTCTCCCGCAGAGCTGGGCTGGCCGGGGAGCAGCGCAGCCTCGTGACCCCGAGCGCAGCCCTGTGCAGTCACAGGCGAAAGCACAGAGCTCTGCTGTGCAGCGCCTTGGCCTCTGAGGCGTGTGAAAGGCTGGCAGAGAAAGCAGTGACATCATAGCAGCCCGCGCGCTCCCCTGGAGGGTTTGCAGATTATATATAGATGGTGCCTTTTGTTGTTTGGGGTTTGTGTGTGCCTGTTTGCTTTGCTTTTTAAAGGAACAAGACCCTTCCTTGAAAGAGTGAGGAAGTAAACTCTTGAGACTGTTGCCTCATAACCACGAAATTGTGGTTAAGGCCAGATGTGTTTCTAAGCCTTGCAGAGCAGAGGATCTGTTATTGGTCATTCCCTATAGATTAATAGATGGRTATGCAAGAGTGCCATCAAGAGCAAAGGAAAATTGGCTTTGTTTAGTTTACTGACTGTCAGGTGTCATATCCACTGAGGAGYTGAAGTTCAAATGGTTCAAACAATGCCTGCTCTGTAGCAGCAAGAAGGATAAGATGCCTTGAAAGAGATCTTCACCCTACTGGTGACCACAAAACCAGCTCATGCCTCACATAGCTATTTTTTTTTTCTGGGAGCTGCCAGGAGCAACCTGCACCTGTGCTCCTGGCTGTGCCTCATGCCACCCTGCCCTATGAACACACAAGCGACGTGGCAGTCRGAGAACAAACGCGGAGATTAAAAAATGGGAAAGTCAGTCTGGTGAAACAGGAGAGCAAACAAAGGAGAGACTTCACCCAGATGCGATATGACTGCCAGCCTGCCTGAGAGACCAGAGGAGGGAGCAMTGTTGTACAAAAACAGGAAGCATTGCCCTTCCCATGGAGAAAGCGGCTCTCGTGCACACAGGAAACTTTCCAAGTGAGAGTCACCCAGGTTTAGAGAGCGAGCTAGTGATTTTGCAGAGTCAGATGTGCAGATCTGATATCCTGGAAGCTATCTCCCACCTTCAGGTCAGGTCTGAACCAGCACTCATTTCCTGGTGTGCAAAGTTAAGGATGTTCTTCGTCTTTCTCTGTTATTTTATTTCCACTGGATTTTTACACACGCAAAAAAAAGGCACCAGCATTTGGAGGGCATCACCCAGCCATCCTCACTATTAGATGTTTCCCCAGAGCTTTAGGGTCCCCAGCTATGCAATGYTAGCTTGTCATGCCAGGACAGGAGAAGCACAAAGGGTAACCTAAACATTACATTCACTCTGTTTCCTGCATGGAAGAAATGTGGGACAGAAAACCAGAATGTTTGCGTGTTCACTGGTGCAAAACGCATCACTTCCCTCTCTTCCCTCCTTGTCTCTCCTCATTACTTACAAGCCCTTTAAGCTAACAGAGTGTGTGGGACCTCCACAAAGGTGGCTGTTATCAGCTCCCCCACAGCAGCAGTGAGGAGAGCTCCTTCTCAAGTGCCACARGGCTCACCATGCTGGAGGTGAGGACAGCACCACTGATTCAGAGGSTGCCTCTGGCTCTGACGTCAGTCACTCGCATGAGCACTGACAGTCACAGGGACACCGGAACTGTAACAGTGACCTGGCAACCCCATAACCTACCTTTGTAAACTCATCACATGATGCTTCTATACACTGAGCTCGTCTGCTTCAAGCCCTTCTAAATTTAGGAGAGAAGCTGTTATGTTCTTTATTAGCATAGTCACCACTTCATGCTTCTACCCTAAACCTCTCTTGCCCACTTGCTTGGCTGTAGTTGAGCAGACACCACCTGGCATAACCACCTGTCCAGCCACCACCAGAAATTCGGCTGTTCCTGTGTCTCAGCAAGCTGCCAAAGGAGGTCTGCTGTGCTTTTCCTGGGCAGGATCAAGCAGGTTTCAAGCTCAGACACTAACTAGGTGATTTCCTTTCAGTCACACACAAGGACCAGATGCCCCTACAAACATTACAGAAGGCCTTCACCATCTGATGTGGCTGTCCCAGTAATTCCTGTATTCTCATTTTGACTCCAGCAAGTTCACACCACTGCAACTTCAAGATCGTTTTTTCAAGTCCACATCCTCTGTAGGGCACTCTGCTCCCCACTGTACAGCTGACATTTGCTCACAGTCCTATCATRCTCCTTACATTCATCATCCATGCTGGGTAGCAGCAGGAGGCTGAATCCTCCTGGACTTGACAGACTGCACCAAGGCTGATGACACCCAGCATTAACTGCACATCAGATGTGAGAAGAGCYGTTTCCCAACTTTCCCTGGACTTCATTCAAAGCAACAGCTGGCTCAAACAAACTTCTGAGAAAGCTCAGCTTTCTGCCAACTAAGAAAATCTCACCATTTCATAGAAGGCATATGCTGTCAGATTGAAAAGACACCCTGCTGTTTCTGCAGTCATCCAGACTCTTTCATGCTTTGGATACTTAGGARAAACACCTCCCTTTTCCATCTCCCGTTGGAAACGCAGGCATTTCTCTTCACTACCAGGCCCTCTTGTGAGCATGATGTCARTTACTTTMCCCTTCCACTRAAGAACCAACCTCACTRTGCATTACAGACCTCTGTCCTGTCCCTAGTGCTTTTGCTATAGATTTGCTAAGCAAGTGCCTGTCTCATAGAAAAAGAGAAGCTCACTCCCACATCTGGATGCAAATGGGCTCCTGAATCTTTCTTTTTTGCCTCTGCACTCCAGGTTGGTGCCTGGCAGCCAAAAGACCCAACAATCTGTCTYGGGACATCAAACCCCTGTGCACAGTAGTTTGATGTACCTGGTCACAGGTACAAGGCGGGTACTGACTTCCTATCTGTGTTGTAACATCCTGTTTTGCAGATGGTRCTGGAGCAGCAGGGCTTGGAAAACAAAGTTAAGACATTTTCTGAAATGCTGATTTACAGATTCGAAATTAATAACCTCTGACAGTCAAAGTGATACAACACCACTGCACTGACAGAGATGGATATGGCAGTGAAAAGTGGAAAATACRTTCCAGTGCCCCTCTCCACTCCTTCAATGCACTAAGTCCAAGAAATCCCACCARAGGCCAGCCTCTAAACACACTGGTCACCAAGAAATACACAGCCGAGCTGCAACTGCTGCTGCTGGTGATCATGCCCTGCGAGCCTGCCGGATTTACGCCTGCCACAAACGCCATCCATCACCGATAGCTGCGGGCAGATCTGCGCCACTCCACSGAGACAGAAGGATGCTCTCAAGATGCTGCTAACAGGTTGGTGCCCTCCAGGCAGCGCTGGGCAGAGGCTCGGCCCAAATCTGTGCGGGACACAGGGGGTGCCCCAGCGGTGTCCACAAACTCCCTGTGTCGTGATCCCTCTGCTGTGGGGCAGAGGTACCACCATCCCTCTCGTCGGAGCGGCAGCGGGCACGGCGCCTTCCTCCCGCCAGAACTTCTTCTCGGCGGGATGGAGACCAAACGCAACCAAATCCCCTTGTGCTCCGTTTTCAGCGAATGCCCGCGCCCCCCGGTCCCGACATGGGCAGCCGTGCGGTGGAGCCGCGGTCCCCGTGAGGGCAGAGGGAGCCCGGCTCCTGCCCGAGTCCGGCGGGAGGCGGGGGAGCGGTCCCCAAGGGATGCCCAGCCCCGGCCGCATCCATCTTACTCCGGCGGCACCGGGAGCCCCAGGCCCGGCCCCCGCGCCCCGGCCCGCCCGCCCCCGGCGCCGCTCACCCGTGCGGGGGTCGAAGGTGACCACGAAGACGGCCACGATCTGGTCCTCCTCCGCCTCCGCCCGCTGCGG